AGTTGGGGAAATTATTAATAAATATAAATGAGCAAGGTGATGGAAGGCAGAGGTTATTGTACACAGATAAGACCATTCTGGGCAGAATTGCGCATCAGACTATATGGAAAATGTGTTTACCAAGAATAAAGAACAAAGTGGGACTTCCATAATGAATGGGTGAGACCATGGTAAATCACCTCTTAAAAAAAAATTAAACTGGATCACAATGTCAATAAACTTCGATTTAAAGACTATCAGTTGGCTGAAGACATATAGTGGATTGAAAAATGTGTTCGAGAAAACCTACTGTGCCTCACCTCAGGAAGAGTGTTGTTCGATTTGGGGGTTTCTCCCATTCCCTCTACCCCTAGCTCCATTGTGTAGAAATTTATCTGGGTGGGCCAAACTGACATTCAGGAGCCTCACTGCTAGAGGAAGCCAACTTTATTTTGAGAACAGCACAAAAAAATTCCATGAGCAGAGGTATTATTAAAACATTAGTGATCCCAGGGGCACCAGGAAATGTCAACATCACATCTAGCCCGAGATCAAAATGCTAATTCGGGCCCAAAACTGACCAACAAGCCAGGTAGCAATCTAAAGGGTGCTCCAGGGGACAAGATGATAATGTAAGCCGTGAAAATATCTTGTTCCTGGTGTTCTGGAAGGTTGGAAATATAGGCAAAGTTAGGCACACATTAAATAGACCAGGAAAAGATTCCTAGGTGCAAATGGTTTGTGCTCAAATGCTAACCTAAAGATTGACAGTTCGAACTTACCCAGGTATCTCAAAAGGATAGGCCTGGAAATCTGGTTCTGAGAGGATTTCAGTTGAGACTACCCTGTGGAAGAGTTCTATTCTGTAGCGCATGGGATTATCACAGTCAGAATCGACCCTAGAGCAGCGTATAGTAGCAGGGAGAATGGAAAGGGCCTTTGTAGGTGAGCTGTTCATTCCTCAGCGAACAAGGCGCCTTGCAAACAAAGTAAAGGTATTCATATGTTTAAGCTGCCTAAATGTTGAGTGCATTTCTCAAGCCTCCACTGATCCACTAGTAAAGAGTTTAAGGTGTTTAAGCACAACCTCTAACCGATAACTTGCTAGCCACTTACCTGCATTGGCCTACGGCAAATCCTGGAAGCCATGCTTAAAAATAAAAGCAAGAATTCATTTTTATGCATACAATGGAATACTATGCACCCCAAAAAGCAGCAATGAAACCATGAAACACCTCAAGACATGGAGAGATCTGGAAGGCATTGTGCTGATTGAAGTTAGTTAATCACAAAGGGAAAAATACTGTATAAGTCCACTGCTATAGGAACGAGCCCAAACTCAGGCTTGTAGGGCATCCAGTCTGCTGGCTGGTGGGTGGTGGGGCAGGGGGCCGCAGTGGTCAGACAGCCTGGTAGAGAACCTGACTGGTGCCAATGAACCATACGCCATCTGCTCTAGTAAGTCTCTGGAAGGTCACTTGGCTGGAGAGCACCTCACGACAGCTGAGATCAAATGGTAAAGCTACGATGAGGGACCCCCAGACAGGCAGACAGCTTCATCAAAGGGATGAGGGACACTGTTGGGAAAAACAACCCAGGAGAGGGCAAA